GTATTATCATGTTACTTGTATCATTTATTTTACTATTTAAAAAATTAAAAATAAAGTAAGAGAACTAAGCTTCATCTGATCAAAATAATTATGCAGGCACACTTGATAGGGAGGTGAAGAGCGAGCCCAGTCCGCATGTTAAAAGAGGCAATTTACAGCTAGCAAGCGCTTGACCCCAAATTAGACCATGGAGCATAATCAAACGGCTGTTTGTCTGAAGAGGTTTCATGTCTAAAATATATTGTCCGACAAAACACAAGTCTAATTTTATTCTCTTTACTTTTATCCATGCACATCTGTGCAATATAAAGTAACCATGGAGAGAGCTTGCTTAGTGTGATGCGTTATGGCTCATAAACTGAGAGTGGATATTTTTACTATCTCTACAAAGAGTATTCAGAAATTTGCTAGTTTCATTCCTTGCACTTTACAGTCGGCAAACATATTTATTTTATTTTTTTCGACTGGGGCTTCTTTTGATTTATGGCGCTGCCCCGAGAGCGTTTGTCAGGAGCGAGCGAGCGAGAGAACCGCCATTTTGTTCTGTTCTGTGTCGCATGCATGATTCATGCGACTTTCGCTTTGGTCCTGTTATTATTATAGATGTTGTTGTTTTTGTTATTGTTGTTGTTGTTGGTTCACTAGGAGTGGAAGTCACTTCAAATCTGTATGTTGCTGCTGTGATTCCCAGCCACGCCCCCTGCCGCCCCGCCTTGACAACAGGGACTCGGGCGTGGGTATATCTGCAAATTGCCTGCAATAAATTTTTGCCCGTTTGCCATAAAACACTTAAAACGATTTGTGCGAATAAAAAAAAATATAAGAAACGGAAAACTGAAGTGAAAATAGAGCTAAAGGAGCTGGTTGCAAAAACAAAAAACTGAAACGACTGGCAATTTTCATTCGATTTTCCCTTCGCGCTTATGTAAGCCATAACAATTTTCAAATCATTTCCACGCGCTTCGCATGCAAAACAAAATGTTTAATTACTTCCGCAGCGAGCAGAAATTTGTCCTGGCGTACAAAGCTCAATTTGTGAATGTTCCGTTTGCGAACAATACGGTAAATGTTCAGAAGTGGAAAATGGAAAATGGAAGGAAAACTGCCAAAAATAAATGCACACAAATTCAATTTATTTGTGCCATAGTACGCACAAACAACAATAACAAACACTCACACACACCCATGGTCAAGTTGTTTGGCTTGTGGAGTGAGTAAAAGTTTGCTAACGTTCTCATTTTGTGTCTTTGGCTAAAATTGGTTATGGCATGGCCAAAAGAAATTATATATGAATTAGTTGGAAAGTCACGTATGTGTGTGTGCACACAGAGTGGGCGTGTGTGAGTATGTGCGAGCGTCCCTTATTATCTCTTACCTACTCTATCAGCCGTTATCTGCTTCTCTTTCTCTGGCCTCTTCGGCTGGCCTGTCGTAAGCGGATTAAGTGTTTTCGAGAGCAAAACTTAAAGCATTCGCCATGAATGATTCACGAGCGAGCATCGCATACCGAATGAATGAATTTACTAAACATTTATCGGCTGCTGTCATCGGTGCACAGTTCCGTTACGTTTTGGGAGCTCGGCTTCCACCGGATGTCTATTTAAAGTTCAAGCACAATACAGCTTTAGCTTGTGGGGATCAAAAGTCTGCTAATTGAAAGCTGAAAAATGAAGACTGTGAACAGACAACGTTTGTGCGCAAAAATTAGCAAGAGCACAATTTCGATTAAATGAAATGCGAAAAAGCAAAATGAGAAACCGAAGAAAAGAAAAAGAAAAAAACAACAAACCTACACAATGCGCCAAGGCAGCCCGAAAATAGGCTAACAAAGCGGAAATGCCAAAAATCTGTGCAGAGGCAGCAGCAACAGAAGCAGCCACAGCAGCTGACCCTAACGAGCTGGCTATTCAGCCAGACAGAGAATGGAATGAATTGATTTGAATATAGCCAAAGCTGAACTATTTTTACAAATTCTGGAATATATTTAGAGCAGCAGCAGCAGGAGGCAAGCTTGAAATATGAAACAAGAAAAGAACATATATTACCATAAATCTTGCCCAAATTTGATATATGCGAAAGGGAGAGAAAAGGCGAAGAAAATAAGCTGAAAGCTTGCCACTACACAAAATCTCATTTTCAGTTTTAGACAAACTTTTTCTTTTTTGTCTTCGAAAAATATTCAAATGAATGTGACAGAGACAATATGAGATGCAAATGAAATATAATGGAATGATTTGATTAAAAGCAAAGCGTATTAGAGAAACAAAAAAGACGCAAAGAAGCAAAAGAAACTCTTTTGACTACTTAAAGCCACAAGCAGATTTGCTTCTAATTTTGCAAGTTATGCAACAATTATAAGCAAAAGAAAATTGTATAATTATTAAACTCATGCAAACTTTGTAAAAAAGTTTATTAATTGAGAGCATTAAAATAAAAAATAAAAAATAAAAACTGAAAATCCAATCAAATATTATATGTAGTAAGCCAAAGTGCCTTACAAAAGGAGTAAGAAAAAGCTCTCCCTTGAACCTACTTACATTTTAATCTAAACTAAACAGGTTAATCTCCTTAATTAGATTTTTAGCTATTTAGAACACATTGCCGCACAATGGAGCAGGGCTGTGGTCAGGGCTGCTGATAGGCAATCTCTGTTCAAGTGCATTAAATAGAACAAATATA